TGAGAACTCCTAAATGCAGATTTGTATAATGGTGACGTGTTTCATTCTTATTGGAGGGAGATTTTTCCCTCCACACTTTGCCCCCAATTCCACTTTAATTAGGTTACAGCTCCTAATTAAAGGGGAATTGAAGTCGTGTAGTTGCCATTCTCGCACGAGGCATTTCTACTTACGTCTATTGTTATTCTGACCAATGGCTTCTTCAAGACTCGCTTTTGTTCTTAGTGTACTCGTTCTGTCTATTGCATTCTTCATATTCTCATATCTGCAGGTTAGTTCTTCTTTCCCTTCTTCCAATCTTACATTATGAGAACTTCGACTACTCCTGAGCGTATAGAAATTGTAGATTCTGAGTCCACGCCCTCGTCTTCCCTTAATCTCATTAGGGTTCCCCCTTCTAGGGTTTCGAACTTCCCTAAGCCTGCAAATGACTCGTTTAATCAGCCGAATGCTTCCCCAATCCAGGCTGAAACATCCACTTCTGGGTCAGACGATATCTTCACTAAGGAAGAAAGGAATGCAATTTTATCTATTCGTCAGATCCCGTTTTCCATTGAATCCGTAATGGAAGAGTTCGACATTCCTGAGGGGGTAGAAATTACAGAATACCCCAAGGGCGCCGATTTTTGCGCCGGTGAGGGCGTCGGAGAAGACGAGTTACTTCTCTCTGTTGGGCATCTCAACGCTCTTAGGTTCCCTCTTCATCCTTTCTATCACTTAGTCTTTAACAAATTGGGGATTGCACCTCTGCAAGTAAACCCTAACTTCCTTTGAGTAATCTCGGCACTCCTTATTCGCCGATGGCTGGAGAGTCTTGACCTGACTCTGGCCGACTTGCTGATTACTTATTCCATTTCTAAGCAGGAGACCGAACCTGGTCGTTTCTTTTTCACCTCCCCTTTGCACCAAAGGATATGTACAGACCTCCCCACTTCTGAGAAGAAGTGAAAAGAGAGAATGATAATTGTTAAAGGGAGAAGGGCCGTGCCCCAATTGAGCAAACTCCCATTCCCTCACAAGTTCGGGAAGTTAGGTATAAAACATCCCTCATTTCTTCATGAAGATTGTTCTGGCTGTTTCCCATGTCGAGTCTTATTCTTTCGATATATTTATGAGTTTTTTGGTGTTTTTTCAATGACATTTCCTTCTTCTGCTGCTAAGAAGAGGCTTTCCTTCCTTAAAGGGCAGGTTTGTAGAGACCCTCCTTCGGTTGAGGACTTGTTTACCTCTGCAAACCTCAAAACAGTTGCTTCCAAAGCCGTAGCCGCTGATCTCATGAACCTCTCACTTCCATCATTTGACAGCTTCCCCATGACTGAGGAAGAAAAATAAAGGGCTGAAGCCTTGAAGAGGAAGGCTGCAGAGAGTGCCCCATTAACTATATTATGCTCAAACGAACAGGAGAAGGAGATCGACGAAATTCCTTTGAACAAGAAGGCGAGGTTGAATTTTTCTTCAACCACGAAACCCAAGGGTGCTTCCAACCCAAAAAGCAAAGGAAAGAAAGCTGAAGAGATTAACTCTGAAGATGAGGTCAGCACTTACGTCCTTGTTGAGGCTGGGGCACCTTGGACACCTTCTTTCTCGAGGGCTGACAAGTCCATCCTCTATATTGGTGATTCTATGATCACTGATCCATCTGCAGCGCTGGCTGTTGCTCGGGGAATGTGGCTCCCCAAGGATGAAGAAATTATTGGTAGAATGGGATTGGAACAATTACTCTCATCTGCCCTTGTTCGAGCCATAGAGGTTTGCTCCTTCCCTCTTCTTCCATTGTCATGATTATCTCACTAATTTTTTTACATTGTTATTGTCTCTATCTGATAACGCAGGGCCTGTATCACACCATGGCTCTTTGTGCCACTGCTGAGGCTCAATCTCTCTCCATTCAGAAGCTGGAGAAAGACCTCAGCAATTCTGAGAAGAAGGCATCCCATGCCATTGCAAATGCACAAATTGCATATGAGGCTAAGGATGTTTATAAGAAATGTCTGGCTGCTACTGATGCAAAAGTGGAGTCGTTGGAGGCTAAAGTACAGCGTTTGAATGATGCCCTTAGCACCTGCATCATTGCAGGGAGGCAGATGCAAGGTCGTTACTCAAGTTTGTTGCGTTTATCTAACATCAAGGCCTTCAGGTTTGGCTTTAATCAGGGTTCAGGGGAAAAAATAATAGATCCCGAGGCTTTTGATGCTCATATGGGAGTGTCTTTCCCTTATGATAAGGGTCCGAAAGCTCAGGAAGCTGAAGTTCTTTTCGCCGAGATGGTGAAAGCTCATCCTGAGGTCCCATCAGCTCCAAGTGTCTCCACTCCTGCAACTGGCCCATCAAATCCTCCACCTGCAAGTCTAGCTGTGGTAGATGCTTTTGAATCTACCCCGTTTGATCCGAAGAGGAAGTAGGATCAAGTAACCTTTTTTATTTTTTTTTTGTTTTTTTTTTTTTATTTTTTTGTAATGAAACAACATTTGGGAATAATAGACATGAATGATATAACCTTGTTTTTTAAGCTGTGTCACTTTTATTCTGCTTCGACTGAGTATGCTTATATGCTTTTAATATTGCACACACTTTGTTAGATGAGATTATTTTTAAGGAAAGTATCCTGCCTGAGGGTTCCTTATCTGTTCTAGTCCGAAGCAAAATAAATAAGATATGAAGAAGAGATCTCCTCTAATGGTATATCTGATAATAGAGGATTGTTTTTTCCTTTAGTGATTTAACCATTAAGGGAACCCTTCTTGAAATGGATTTGTGTGAAGCAAGTATATTTATACTTGTTTCTTCTTGTAGTTTTTCGATATGGGACAATCTCGCGGCTTATATTACCGAACTTAGAATCAGTGAATATGAGCGTAAGAGTAAGGTTTGTTGAGCCGGACACTTAGGGTCCGAGGCGAATAAACTACTCCCCGGCGCTAAGCCTGAGGGGAGGTTTGCCGAGCTGGACACTTAGGGTCCGAAGCGAATAAATTACTCCCCGGCCCTGAGGGGGGGTTTGTTGAGCCGGACACTTAGGGTCCGAAGCGAATAAATTACTCCCCGGCTCTGAGCCTGAGGGGAGGTTTACCTAGCCGGACACTTAGGGTCCGAGGAGAGTAGGTTCCTCTTCGGCGCTGAGCCTGAGAGGAGGTTTGCTGAGCCGGACACTTAGGGTCCGAGGCGAGTAGGTTCCTCTTTTGAGCTGAGCCTGAGGGGAGGTTTGCCGAGCCGGACACTTAGGATCCGAGGCAATTAAATTACTCCCCGGCGCTGAGCCTGAGGGGAGGTTTGCCGAGCCGGACACTTAGGGTCCGAGGCGAGTAGGTTCCTCCTCGGCACTGAGCCTAAGGGGAGGTTTGCTGAGCCGGACACTTAGGGTCCAAGGCGAGTAGGTTCCTCCTCGGCGCTGAGCCTGAGGGGAGGTTTGCCGAGCCGGACACTTAGGGTCCGAGGCGTGTAGGTTCCTCCTCGGCACTGAGCCTGAGAGGAGGTTTGCCGAGCCGGACACTTAGGGTCCGAGGCATATAGGTTCCTCCTTGGTGCTGAGCCTAAGGGGAGGTTTGTCAAGCCGGACACTTAGGGTCCGAGGCGATTAAATTACTACCCGGCGCTGAGCTTGAGGGGAGGTTTGCCGAGCCGGACACTTAGGGTCCGAGGCGAGTAGGTTCCTCCTCGGCGCTAAGCTTGAGGGGAAGTTTGCCGAGCTGGACACTTAGGGTCTGAGACGAGTAGGTTCCTCCTCGACGCTGAGCCTGAGGGGAGGTTTGCACATATTTTTTTTCCAAACAACTTATCATGAGGCCGAGGACTCAAAAATGATAGGAGGCCAAGAAAACGAGTAACAGTGGCTGGGAAGTTTCCTATTTGTTTACTTTGGAGACTTTCCTCCATTGAAACTCCCTTCTTGGCAACCAAATGTAGTGGACTACGCATATATTTACCGTATTTCTTTTTTATTTCTATCCGATGTGGGACGTAGACTAAATTTTGTCAAAAAGGTCGGTGTAATACCAGTGGGCCCTCCTTACACCACAATCAACTATTTGAATATTCCCATAAATAACAGAATGTAACACATACTTTTTTGTCGATGTGGGACAGAGAGTTTTAACCATAGGCCATAACTCATGCTTTTTAAAAATCATTATGATGAATGCTTTTCTGCTTCGAACATTGCTTTGCATAAAAATTTCTTTGCATAAAAATTGCATAGTGTGACTTGGCATGCATAAAAATTACATAATTATAGAGTAGTATGAAAATTTCTTTGCATAAAAATTCCATAATACGACGCAAAGTTGCATAATCATAAAGTAGTATGAAAATTTCATTGCATAAAAATTGCATAATGCGACGCAAAGTTGCATAATCATAGAGTAGTATGGCCCCCATTTTTATGGAAAGAAATAAATTGAGTAGAATTGTACTGAATATGATAGAAGCAAAATAAAGAAAAGCTTGACTGACTGTGGGTATACGCAGCCTTATTTGTGAAGAATTCTTAGCAAAATTGACAAACTTATCTAATGGAAATACCTTTTAAGGTGTATTGCATTCCAAGGACACGCAATGGGACGTCAGTCAGCTTCGGCCAAATGATATGCTCCCTTCCCCACTACTTCGGTAACCCTGTAGGGTCCGGTCCAATTAGGTTCCAATTTCTTTATATGAGCTGTCTCTTGCTTCAAAACCCAATCGCCTACCACAAAGCTCCTGAATCTGACGCATTTGTTATAACTGTTGTGCAGCTGTTGCTGATATGAAGCAAGCCTAATTGCTGCAGCATCCCTTTTTTCATCCAGGAGATCGAGACTATGTTCGAGCTGCTGACTATTATTTCCTTCAAGCAACAAGAATGTCCGAAGGGTTGGAACAGCCGCTTCGGTTGGGATCATAGCTTCAGATCCATAAGCCATGGCAAAGGGACTTTCCCCCCTGGGCCGCCGTGGAGTGGTTCGGTATGCCCAAAGCACCTGAGGGAGATTCTCGTACCATTTTGTTTTGAGTTTCTCCAGCTTTTACTTTAAACAACTAAAAATAGTTCGGTTAGTTATTTCAGCCTGTCCATTCCCTTGTGGATGACTGACTGCAGCTAGCTTTTGTATAATTCCATGCTCAGCGAAGAATTTTCTTGTACTTTTATTATCGAGGTTCTTACCATTGTCCATCATAATGACTTTTGGGATCCTAAACCAGCAAATGATGTTCCAAAGGAAACTTTTTACCTGCTTATGGGTCACACTTGAGTAAGCCTCGGCTTCTACCCATTTAGTAAAATAATCTATAGCCAGTAGCACGTACTCCTTTTGTTCCACGGTCTTGGGTAAAGGGCCCACCATATCAATCCCCCATTGTGCGAATGGCCATGGATTTGCCATTGCATGCAAATCTTCGGCAGGTTGATGCTTCATTGGACCGTGGCGTTGACATTTGTCACATCTCTGAGTATACTCTTCTACATTCCGGGCCAAGTACAGCCAGAAGTAGCCTTGAGTTAGAACTTTATGTGCAAGGGATCTACCCCAAGAATGGTTGCCGCAATCTCTATTATGGATTTGTTTCAATACCACAAGAGCCTCAGTAGGGCTTAAACATTTCAGGTAAGGACTTGGAAATGACTTCCGGTATAACTGGTTGTTAATGATGGTATATTTAGCTGCCGTGAGTTGGAGCTTCCATGCTTCAGGCTTCTGGTTTGGAAGAATTCCATGCTTGAGGTAGGCTTCCAATGGATCAATCCAGCATGGCTCTCGAAGAATAACTGGAATCACCATTACTTCTTGCTGAGGGTTAATGCTGGGTTCATCCAAGATGTCAATCGGCACAATTCGAGTCAGATCTTCATTTGAGGATGACGCTACTGTGGCCAATTGATCTGCTTCGGCATTCTCAACATGAGGTACCTGATAGAATTCGATTTGATCGAATCCTCGTGTAACATTTTCCACAGCTTCTTTATATGCCTTCATTCTTTCCTCTTTCGGATGATACTGACCTGTCACTTGATTTATAACAAGTTGTGAGTCACTAAAAACCTTTAAACAACGTACCTGGAGGCTGCTGGCCAATCGAAGACCAGCAAGTAACGCCTCATATTCTGCCTCATTGTTCATAGCAGGGAAATTCAAGCAAATAGACTGCTGCAACTTGGTGCCTTCGAGTCTTGACATAACAACCCCTATCCCTGCACTTGTTTGATTCGAGGAGCCATTGACCAGAAGCTCCCACTGTGGTTCAGGGGGTTCCGGCTCTTCGGGAGTGTCTTCATATTCTAGAAGAAAGTCTGTTACAGCTTGTCCTTTGTGCGATACTCTAGGCTCATAAATTATGTCAAAGGAACTGAGCTCAATAGCCCATTTGGTAATTCTCCCAGATAGATCAAGCTTAGATAATATACCCCGTATAGGATAGTTGGTGAGTACCACAATGCTGTGAGATTCAAAATAATGTCGAAGCTTCCTCTTGGCATAGACCAAGGCTAAGATGATTTTCTTTGCTTTGTTATACCGTGTCTCCGCATCCGTCATTGTCTTACTTGTGTAGAAAACTGGATATTGCCTCTTTCCTTCCTCTCTAATCAAAGCTGCACTTGTCGCTATACTAGAAATTGCTAATTACATAATAAGAACCTCCCCGGGTTTTGGAGCGGATAAAATTGGTGGTTCGGCCATATAACCTTTCAACTGATTGAGGGCCTGCTGCTGCTGAGGTCCCCATATATCTTTATTCTTAGATCTTATAGCATCGAAGAATGGTTTGCACTTATCTGACAATCGGGATATAAACCGGCTAAAGGCTGCGATCCGACCGGTAAGAACTTGTACCTCCCTACGATTTTTTTGGTTCCTGATTCTGGATAAGGTCCTTAGCCTAAGCCGAACTTACCTCTATCCCTCTTTTATTCACTATGTGGTCGAGGAATTGACCTGATGATACCGCAAAAATGCACTTGGATGGATTCAGCTTCATGTTGTACTTCTTTAAGGTATTGAAAACTTCCTGAAGGTGTTTCGGATGGTCTTCCTTCTTCACACTTTTGACTACCATGTCATCTATATATGCTTTAATTGTTTTTCCCAAAAAATTGTCAAAGATCTTATTGACAAGACGTTGATAAGTAGCCCCAGCGTTCTTCAGCCCGAAGGGCATGACCCTGTAACAATAAGTCCCCTTTTCTGTAATGAAAGCCATTTTTTCTTCATCTTCAGGGTTCATAGGAATTTGATTGTATCCTGACTACGCATCAAGGAATATTAGCCTCTCGTAGCCGGTAGTAGCATCAACCATCTGATCTATCTTGGGCAGAGGGAAGCTATCTTTAGGGCTGGCTTTGTTAAGGTTGGTATAGTCTACACAAACCCTCCACTTTCCATTCTTTTTTTGTACGACTACCACGTTTGACAGCCACTGTGGATATTGCACTTCTCGAATGAAACCTACTTGCAACAACTTGTTCACTTCTTCAGCTATAATGCGATTGCGTTCGGGGGCAAACCTTCGGTGTTTCTGCTTAAACGGTTTGAACTCCGGATCCACCTTCAGGCTATGGTAGGAAACTAAAGGATCGATTCCTACCATATTCGAGTGATCCCATGCAAAAGCATCTGCATTGCTCCGAATGATATCAATTAACGCCTCCTTTTCTTCGGACGTGGAGGAAGAGCCTAAATAAGTGATTTTCTAAGGGTCACTGAGGATAACTTCCATGGCTTCAAGGGTCTCTTTGGTAGGCTTCGCAATTTCCTCTTCCTCCTCTACCTTAAGATACTTGGGCAGAGGGCTTTGTAATTGCTATTTGGGTATATTTTTGGAAGCCACACCTGGTTACTGCTGAGTAGACACCTTCTTTGCTTCAGCCTGTGTCAACATATAGCATTCATTCGCAATGACTTGATCACCTTATAGATTAATCACTTCTTTTCCTTCCGGAGACAAGCACCGCATCACTTGGTGAAGGGTGGACGAAACTCCTCTCAACCAGTGTATCCAGCCTCTTCCCATGATGAGATTATAAGAAGGATGGATCTCTGTTAAAACAAAGTTCTCCTTCAGAGTCCTCTTCACCGTAGTTACGGACAAGTCTATTACTCCAAGGGGATCTACTCTTGTGCCATCGAATCCTATCAATGGGCTAGAGGTAGGTCGAATAGATGATGACGGGATCTTTAGCTGCTCAAAGACCATTTTTGTGATGATGTTAGCGCTACTTCCTGGGTTTATCAAAACCCTCTTGATCATACAATTGGCCAGTAAAAGACTGATGACCAATGGATCCTCGTGGGGGAGTTGAACTTTGGATAGGTCGCCATCTCCGAATCCAATACTGATGCTACCCGAAGCGATAACATTAACCGAGGATATCTTCCTGAGCTTGTTGGCTGCCCTCAATCTGGATCTGTATACCCCCTCGGACTCTTGATCATCTTCAGACCTGCCATGTAATATATGAATGACCTTTACTTATGTACCTTCAACCTTGCGAGGATAGACCTCGCGGGGCTTTGCATACTCCTTTGTCATGAGGTAGTCCGCCAACTCACCTCTGGCTGTCATATTTTCCACCTGTGGCCTAAGGGATCTGCAATCATTGGTTGAATGCCCATAATCTCGATGATAAGCACAATGCTTGCTTTTATCACTTTGCTCCAAGGGTTGCTTTATTGGTTGCGGGGTTGTGAACTTCATCTTATTCTCTTAGAAGAGTAGAGCCAAGGTAGTTCGGAGAGGTGTAAACCCTTCCTCTATCGTTTGCCTCTTCTCAAGTGCCTGGGTGATCGGCATTGAGGCACGTTGGCTTTTCTGAATCTTTGAATTTGGAATTCTTTCTCGAGGCTTGTTCTCCACTATCACGAGGGTGGCGGGCCATATTTTCCTCGAGCCAAATATAGATCAAGGCCCTGGCATTGAGAGTCTGCATGTCGGGAGGAGAATATTTGACCAAGGAAATGTGGAACTTTGTCCCCTGAATCATCACAAGTTTAAATGTTTCTATAACAGTCACGGGATGACAATCTGCTATTTCTGAGGCTTTCATGTTAAATCTAGATAAGAAATCCTGCAATGTTTCCCCCTTCTTTTTCCTTACGGTGAAGAGGCTGGCAATACTCTTCTTTTATTTCTTATTTCCGTAATACTGTGCCAAGAACATGGTGCACAGAGTTACGTAATCTGGAATGGACTTATGCGGCCTATTCCTGAACCATTCTAGCGCTGCTCCTGTCAAGCTGGTAGGAAAAACTCTGCACATCCAAGGGTCATTACGATCATCCAAAGCCATCTTTTGGGCGTAATGATCTAGGTGTCGAGAAGGATCCCCCATTCCATCAAACTGGGTAAAAGAAGGCATGGTAAATTTCTTAGGCCTCTCAACCAGATACACATCGTCAGTGAAAGGAGTTTTGACCAAGGAATTTTTGTGTTCTCTAGCCATCTCAGCAGGTGTCTAAATCTTCAGGAGTCTTTTCTCATCAAAGGCATCCTGAACACCTGCACCATCTATAATTCCATTGGACCACACCGTGAGCTTATGGCTGGATTCGACTTGCTCGTCCTGCGTACGATGAGGGACGTTATCTGAAGCCACAGCCACAGATCTTGCCCACTGTTGTTGCTGAACCTCATTTGGCTGAGCCTCATTGGGTCGTGCCCCATTAGGTGGAAGCCCGGTAATCGGAGGAATATTCTGATTAAGGGGTGCTGCTGTGTCACCCATTGGTGGCGGTGGTGCCAACTGAGCCACCGCCGTTTGCAGAGTGTTATTCTGCTGTTGAAGCAAGGCGATCTGAGCCACGCTTGCTTCATTTGCCTGACGAAGTACGTCAAACTGGTGTAGAAACTCTTCACGCATCTTCTGCATCAACTCCGTCTATTGATCCATTGAAGATCCTCCGTTCTACATTCCGGATGGTAGTTGCAGGATTCACCTGTGAAATAAGAGTGGGAATATATTTGCACGCGTTCCCACAGACGGCGCCAAAGTGTAGGTGCAAAATTCCGCTCAACCAATTACGATTGAGAGAAAATAATACAACACACTCAACAAATAATAAAAATAAACAAGAACAGTATCTATAGAAGAATTGAATTGCTCCTTTATTGGAGGTCTAGGCCTCTATTTATACACAAAAGTTGGTAAAATTATGGTAGGACTCGCGTTGCTTGTCCTCTAATTCTTCCCATACATGACTTTCTTTACAAATAGAGTTCTTTCCATTGTATGATATTTCGTACGTAGAACTTGCTTTGTATAAAAACTTTCCTTCCGGGTTGACTCTTTTGCTTAATAGGACTGAGCCATATTTAATTATACTTGGGCCAGATGTGGTTTGGTGTAAGTGACTTGACCAATGGACCAAAACTTCAACAGCGGTGACATTGGGCTGATCGATACTCTTACCTGGCTTTGGAGGTCCAACATAAATGATAATGGGTTATATCACAACATAACTTAGGCTTGATCTGGATGGGCTTCTGAGAACTCCTAAATGCAGATTTGTATAATGGTGACGTGTTTCATTCTTATTGGAGGGAGATTTTTCCATTCACACACTTCTTTAAGAAGATGGGTGTACTTATAGTTACTTCTGAACTCTTTAAGGTTTGTTCGCAGCCTGAAAATTTCATCTATAAGGCTTTGTGTATCAGTTGGATCAATACCTTCCATGATGTTATTGTGGTCATCGATGAATTTGTAAGGATGTGGAGTGGGTTTTGTCTCAGCAAACAGGGGCGAAGCCAATTAAGGCCCAAAGTGGCACGTGCCCCCCCTCACCTTGCTCCAACTTACTATACATAGGTACATATTTTTGTTATATACATATATTTATATAGTAATTTTAAATAGTGCCCCTCCTAAAATTTTTAAATTCTTCTAATTTCCTTTTGAAAAAAAAAAAAAAAAAGAGTTACATATATCCCCTTCTTCTAGTATACCATATATTTTTCTTTTTTCTAATTTTTGTTTCCTTGTTAAAAAAAAAATTCTTTTTTCACTTGTGTATAATTATGTATGTTTCTATTTTTTCCACTTATTTCTTTTTATCGATGACATTTGTGATTGTATTTAATTAAAATATTATTCATCAATATTTTAATTCTTATATTTGTAATTATATTTTTTTTACAGTATTTATTTAGCATATTATTTTACAACTATTTTTTTTGTTGTTTGCCTTTTGATTTAAAAAAATTATACGTCATATTTGTCATATTTATTGATTTTTTTTTTTCAACAAGTGCATTGTGCCCCTTCTGAAGTAAAATCTTGGCTCCACCCTTGTCAGCAAATGAAACTTTTTTTATTGGAAAAACTTTGCTAGTGGGTGGGAACTTTGGTCTATCGTATGTGTTTTTGTTTGTTGAGTGACGCTTTTTGAGTATGGGATAAGGTAATTTAGCATGGTCGCTATGGTGTGTGATGACTCTAGATGCAAATGTAGGTGATGAGGTTGGTTAAAATAGGGGGTTTAAGGTGATTGGGTCTTCTAGTTAGGGGTGCTCTCATGGTGGTTTTTTTGGGTTAGATATA